GCTACCCTACCAAACCAGGGCAATCATCATTGTGGCAGTGAGTCTAAATGTTATATTACTTAAGTTGTGATAAATACAGTCTGTTATCCTGGTGAATATTCTTAAATTAGAGAATTCTATAGCAATTGATGGGTAGCAGTGGCAGCAGGCTCATCAAGTTAGCCCATACACCCACCTCCAAAGCTGCATTCTCCAGTTCTACATGAGGAATTCCCACCTCCACATGAAGGTCTGTGTGTTGTTACCCAAAGCTCATGACCATGGGTGAGGGTTGGAACATGGATAAACCAGCATCTTTGGTACAGCGTCTTAAGTACTGATTTTCCTGTGGATCTCATGCTCCATCCTACCCTTACATGTGAACAAGACCTCAAGATAACTGGGCTCCTTCATTTGGGATAATGACTTGCTTTCAACTCGAAGGGAGCCATCTACCACTTTCAGGCAGAGTACTGTGGCATCAGACTTGGAGGTGCTCAGGCTCATTTCCACTGATTCACACACACTGAAAATTGCCCCAGAGTGCACAGAAGGTCATGGTCTGAAGAAGCCAGCAAAACAGAAAACAGATCTGAGACCCCCATTGAGAGACACTCTCAACAGCTCAGCTGCACCTCAAGAAGCTGTCCATGACAGTGACAAGCAAATTCTGGGACGAGACACAACCCTGGCATAGCCCAGTGACCATTCTTGGCTTCCTGCAGGGAATGCAAGCTCTATAAGCTCTAATGACCTCAGTACCAAATACATTTGATATCCCTCAAAAGCTAACCGTGGGGACACTTCATAAGTCTTTTAAGTGCCATGGGGCACAGCAAAAAGAAAGGCTTAACTTTTTATAACCATCAACCAAATATTTACTGTGTAAAGCATGGATACAATAGGAATAATACAATTTCTTTTAAAAAGTATGATTTATCATTCAAAATGTCACCATTAATAGTAATTTGTGATTTTGCAGAACTGTCTGTTATATATATTTGTTGTTTTCTGTCTGCTACTTAAACTGAGGCTTCCTTATTACATTAATTCATCTATCAGTGTCCCTGCAGTGCTAACGTCAGGGTGTAAATCATGCTCAGGAAATGAGAAATACAGTAAATTGTGACTAAATGTCAGGACATGGTGTTATGCATTTTTCTGTGGAACAAGTCATTTACAATGCTGTAAATGCATTTTAAAAGCAGTACTTTCTGTTCCCTTCATAGATTTCTTACTGTGGCTCTGACTATAGTTTGCTCACTGGATACGCTTTCCATTTTATTTCTTTTCTTCTTTCTGTAAAATGGTATTAGATTGGTCACTGAGCATTAACTGATAATGCACGATGAAAAATTACTGCTTGCCACCATGGACACCATGCAAGCATCACATATAATAGAGACCATTATACCAGCACAGCATTTGTTCAATTTGTGAATTATGTATTAATGTACTTTATCAAGATAATTTGGAGTATTGTAAATGCCACCCACTTTGGTTCAAATTGAAATCTCATGTCCAGGCATATACAGAAAATGCATAAAAAAAAGAACTCCCTAAAAAGGCATAGAGAATTAGCTTTTGTTGTAATGATGTAGCATCATTTATTTACTAGGATAAAATTCCATGGCTACCAGTCAATGTGAATAGCTGACCAGCAGGTGGGTTTATGAAGTCATGTCAGTGGAGAGACTGCATTAAAACTGGAGGAACTTAAGATGTTCGGGATCCATTTTTACAGGTTCATGCGTATGTTAATATAGCAGTTTTATGTCACTAAGAAAAGAAGAGGTTTTACTTACAGGGATCAGTTATGTAGGCTTAAGGCGGGGGTGTCAAACTCAATTGTACAGGGGGCCAAAACTCAAAGCACACTTTAGGTCGCAGGCCGAACAGGATAAAATTTATTAAACAGACTAAAACTAAACGTTTTTTGAACATAAATATGAATCGAAACAGACAGGATACAACATTATTCCAAAATAAATAAACTTGAACTTAAAATCAGCAACCGTATTTCTGCTAAGGCTTACATTTGCAAACACCTGCCACTTTGGTGAAAATGTCTGCTGTGATGTCAGATTCCTCTTCAACTCCTCTACCTTCTGTAGCTTCTGCTCTGCATTCACGTTTTTCAGCTTGTCCTGATGTTTTGTCTCGTAGTGCCGTCTTAGGTTATATTCCTTAATTACATCCACATTAGCTCCACAAATAAGACACACAGGTTTACCGACAATGTCAGTAAACATATACTCAGCCTCCTGCCGGTTTTGAAAGGCTCTGTTTTCAGAATCACCTTTTCTCTTGGCCATTGTTAGGGGCTAGCTTTGACTTGAAATTAGGGTTGTATACATCAACAGATGCTTGATTGATCTGACGTAATTGAAGTGGGAATGATCGCAGGTAACCTATCGGTCGGTAAGGCAGCTGCTGCGTTGCATTATGGGATTTGTAGTTTGTGTGTTATCAGCGCTTCATATAGTCAGGTCATTAAAAAAAAGATATATAAAATGATCTTGCGGGCCGGATGTGGCCCGCAGGCCTTGAGTTTGACACATAAGGTATTGCCTAAGGTATTATGACCTCCACTAAAGAAATATTCTCAAACATTATATACATTATACATAAATATCATATATAGCATAATAACTTGAGAAGCATGGATTGCAATTTTCTTGTATAATACAAATACTGATTTTTTTAAGTGCAACCTGATTCTGAATATTTGTAGGGGAATACAGTGGAACCTCGGTTTTCGTGATTAATCCGTTCGAAAAAGTCCGACAAAAACTGAATGTACGAAAACTGAAGCAATATTTCCCATAAGAAATAATGTAATCCAAATAATTCATTCCAAACACCCAAAAATATCAACAACAACAAAAAAAAAAACGAGCGGATGTACGAAAAATAAGACAAAATTTTGACGAAAAAAGTCGTCGAAAACCAAATCGTACAAAAAGTAGGGCATACGAAAACCGAGGTTCCACTGTATTGGAAAAATCGTATGGACAATGTTTGTCAAGGGACAGTAACATCAAGTGACCCACAGTACAATTATTATACGTTCCGTACTGCAAAGAGTAAACAGTAGATCTAGAATAGATACCTATGTACTTAGATACCATATGTATTTTACTGATTGTGTGGAACTCAGTTCTCATAAGCAGTCAAACTGCAGAGATGCAGACATATCTGTTCCAGGAGCCAACAATGACGCAGGACCACGACTGTTAAGTCTGACTGTATAAACTTTTCCCAGGGTAATTTATTTTTATTTACGCATTTCTCCATCGCCTCAAAAATGTCTCTCCCTGTTGATGTCCCATGCATGGCAGCTACATTCAAGAGCTCCTCTGTGACAGAGAAGTCCGCTTTTACACCTCTTATAAAAATAGACAGCTGTGCTGTATCCCTCTTGTCTGTGCTTTCATCAGCAGCTAATGAACTGCATGTCTCTTCGGCCAGCTGTTTTGTCAGATTTCCTGCGAGTTCCTTACCTCAGTCTGCAATGGTGTTTCTTGACAAACTGACATTTTTAAAAGTCTGTATCTGGTCAGGGCACACCTGTTCACACACCTTTAGCATGCACTGCTTCAAAAATGCACCCTCTGAAAAACACCTCAAAGCTCGGGGCGATTTCTTCAGCCACAATACAACTTGCTGTCACTATATTTTTTGCTGTAGCTTTTTTGAACAGTCTGTCATGTTAAGATGATAAATTTAGCATATTTAGCTCCGTGTTTGGTCTCAAAATGCCAACGCACATTGTACTCTTTCACCACCAACACTGCCTCATGACACAAAAGACACTGGTTTTTCTTCTTGAAGCAGAAACATATATTTAAGCAACTCCACGCAAACATGAGTTTCACCTGGAGCCCATCTCATACAGAATTTTTAAGGGCCATAGCGACTTTGATATTTGAGTGTTTAAAAAGTCTAATAATGATTTATCAGCCAATATTCATTTTTTAACAGAAACACATATCAAAAACTATGATGAAGATCCCTTACATTTAGTTATTGAGGTGGGCATATCAGCCTTCACTTAATGATTTGGCTCAACGTGCACATATTTCCTTCTAGTGTTTTTTCACTTGCCTAATAATCCCTCTGTTATTACCAGTTCAAGGCAGCTGTTCTGAAAGGTGACTGTCAAATATAAGCTAGTGGGGTGGGTCTCAACTTTAAACTTTTAAGACTACCTTTTGTGAAAATCAGATGTGTTTCCAATAATCCTGCTGTAACTGTAGTGACATGTGAGTGGAGGAATTATCTATAGTATTTATAGAACACTGCAGAATGAGTGTTTTACACAGAATTTTACAATGCATAAACCAGTTTTCATTAAAAATAAAATATACAAAGATGATGATGTTGAGAACAAGAGCAGAAAGAACACAGGGAGACAGCTGCAGACATTTGCCAAGATGACAGCAGAAAATATACATACACATTTGAGCAACGCCTGACACAGTAGACACTACAAAGCACACAAAAGATCATAGCAGCAATAAAATGAAAAGGAAACCACAGCCTTAGATAACCCAGCTAAAACGCTGTTTTGTGCATGAAAGAGGCCACTGACATATAATCTCCAGAAACACTTTTTCCTTCTGAGTTTTAAACCATTCCTTCCTTGCATCCCCATACTTCTACTATATATCAACGCAGCACTATGTCACGCCATATGTGTTGTGCTAACACTGGACAAATTAACTCATGTTAAATTAAGAACTCAGTGTAAATTTGTCAGCAGCATGGCTGCATGACAGGGCTGAGCAGTATAGTTAGGCTGCATCATAAGCTCTGTATAATTACAAGTACCATAGAGAGAACTGCCATGTTTTAATTTAGTAAAAAACATGTTGTATCACCCTGCTTTTTTTTCTTTAGCAGAGAACATCCCTGTTTCTACAATTTCACACAGAGAAATGCACGTAGATAAAAATGACATAACAATAGACATATATCAAAAAGCACAATAACGGTAGCTTGGCTGTGTGTGTTTGTACCTGGTAGGTGTCCCATAGTCTGATCGTGCAGCGTAGTGGTAGCTCTCTCATTAGGAGGTTGTTCATCCAGCGGAAGGCAAACTGCAGGTACTCCACTTCATAATGCTGCATGTGGCGGTGCACAGACTCTGCCAAAATAATAATTGCAATTTTAAAATAGAACAATAATACACATAGAGTAAGGTGCTTTGTTTGGATTGGCCTTTGATATTTTTGCTGGTTTTTACAAAGTTTTCAGATAAGTATAAAGTAAAAAAAAAAAAATTCCTTTAGGATGTGCACATCAGTCTAGTGAGATATGGAGTGTATATACTGTAGGTCAATGGCATCCAGAGGTGAAGACAGAATGTATGTATGTGCAATGCAATGTGTGTGTTTATTTCTTTGACACTAGTGCTTCCAGCAGGAGCTTGTTGATTGCTTATAAAAAATTTTTCATTTGTGATATGTTATGGACATGGATAATAAAAAAATTGTAATTTAGCAAATATTCAATTACCCACCTCTGTAATACCAATCATGTCCCAGTGTGCCTTCACTGTAATTTTGTGTTTGGTTTGTTTAACCTCTAGAGTCCTGAGCTTTGGAAACCCAAGCTGTGCGGTCCTCATATGAGGACGCAGGGACTCTAGAGGTTATGATGTCCAAAGTTAGGAGGAGGAGTAAGGCTTATAAACAAGTCATATTTGTTGTTGATTCTTCACAAAAAATTACAGTTTTATATCTTTATGTTTGAAGCCTGAAATGTGGCAAAAGGTCGCAAAGTTCAAGGGGGCCGAATACTTTCGCAAGGCACTGTATGTGCAATGTAATGTGTGTGTTTATTTCTTTGACACTAGTGCTTCCAGCAGGAGCTTTTTGATTGCTTATAAATTTTTTTTCATTTGTGATATGTTATGGACATGGATAATAAAAAAATTGTAATTTAGCAAATATTCAATTACCCACCTCTGTAATACCAATCATGTCCCAGTGTGCCTTCACTGTAATTTTGTGTTTGGTTTGTTTAAGATGTCCAAAGTTAGGAGGAGGAGTAAGGCTTATAAACAAGTCATATTTGCTCACAAATGGCTGGTTATTCAAACAGAATTTTGGTGATCAATTTTTACATGAGATCACAGTCTCTGGCAGAAGGGGAGATAAAAAAAAGATTCTGTTCCTGTCCATGAAAAATGCATTTGTGAGAAATGATAACTTTGCTCTCAAAAACACAAAGTAAATCATCCTAAACAAGTTGGGAATATACAAAAATAGAACATATTCTCACAGTGGATTAATACAGCTGGTGCAATAGAAGATACTATTTCCAGCACCAGGACTGCATGTGGGGTCAACTCACAATAAAACACACAATGTGGCACCCAGTGTAACTGGCCCAGTTGAGGTGTCTTTAATAATAACAACAACAATAGATGCTTTTCCACCAAAAATTCATAACAGATGTCCAGGAAGACCAAGTTACACTACAAATGTCCCTGAACCTTCAGGAGTACTACCTCTGAGCAGGGACTTTTGGGGGATAAAACTCTCTCCCTGGAGCCTAAATTAGATCATGGTTCCTTCAGTAGAAATGCTGGTAGGAGAACTGAGTTACAGGTTCTTGTTTCATAGAGAATGTGCCTGCGGTGGAAATACATTTAATGGAGGTTTGTTACATAAAGAAATAAGGTATTATAGAAGGCTTTGGGTTCACAGACAATTCTTAGAATTATTATACTCAAAACTTTTTTTGGTCTCGACTTACAAACACAAACATTTGGTTATTAGAGGTCTAAATCTTTCTCCTCGCTCTTATAAAATGTGTTTTGTTTTCATCTCCTACAATTGGCTCAAATGATATTGCACTACCAAACAAACAGACCCCACAGAAAGAAGCATGAGAGGGTCTCCGTATATACTGAATGGAGTTGAAATGTCAAAGTCACTGTCACGGCAGGCTGACATCAACAGAATGGATGAGAAGCAGAGATGTCAGCTGAAAACTTGCTGCATATGAGGCTGTGACACTGAGGATGACTGCCTTTGTTCCTTTCTCTGTTTTTGATAAGTGTTTGCTTTATTCTCCTTTACATAACAAAAGATTTAAAATATCACTCAGTATTCAGTGAATCCCTATTTCATAAGCATCAAACCTATGACACTCATTCTCACTCACTCTCTCTCCCTCTCTCAAACACACACTTCATAATAAAGCTGTAATTACAGAGCTGTCAGAGAATTTATGAGAAAAGCCAGTTAGGGAGGAACTATAGCATCATCTTCTCTCACACTGTGCTCTTAATCAAGGCTGAGTGACACTGACACACACATACACACAGACTGTTTCCGTCACTTCAGGGGATATTACATTAACCTTAAACCAAACTCTAAAATGTAATTATTTATATTTTCGGGTTTTGCTTTTTGCACCCATAAGGATGTTGAGTCCCCACAATGTGAGTGTGCAAACAGATTTATATACCAACAACATGAGTAACACCCCCACCCCACCCACCCACACACAAACAAACAAATACAGCTTTAATAAAAGTTTCATTGATGAAATAGTCAGGAACACTTATGCAACTTATTACTCTCAAATACCAATACTTGAATGACACCAATCTTCCCTTGCTCACACATGCATGTTTCATAATTATGCACACTCCACCACATGATTAGGGTGCAAAGTATACACAAAGATATTATTTCACACTTCTCTCTGCAGTTTAATTATCACATGCTGCTGTAAAAGCATAAACAAGGCAAGCTCATTAATGGCAAATGCATCATGGTGACAGATCTTAGCTTGCTGCCAAGCAGAGAAAGCAAGAGTGGAACAACTTCAGACAATGTTAAATTACACTAATGAACTTGCTCTGCCTAATATTAGCAACTTCACCAAAGAGAGAAGAAAAGTTGCACAATGTGTGAGTGGTTGAAAGGAGAGTCTTTTGTCTTGAGGACAGAAGATGGAGAGGAGAGAAGAGTAGAGTGAAATTAAAAAATTAAACACACAGACACAAAACAACAGAAAAACAAAACCCACAATGAGTTAAAGCACTAAAACTTGTGACATCTCAAAAGTGGGCTGCTGTGAAGCTGGCAAATTGCTCTGCATGCTGGGTAGTGTAGTTTTTATGGCTGAATTAAACGTTTTGGGCTCCGAAACATCAAGGTCAAGGTCAAAGCTCAAAGTGTTTATTTGTCATATGCACAGTTAGGAAATGTGTTTCCCTGTACAATGAAATTCTTACTTTGGTGTCCACATGAATGCCACAAAATACAAGTGAAATATAAAGCAGATGAGCAAAAACACAAATCTAAATAGGCAGTAAAATTACAAATCTAAGGCACTTTAAAGCAGCAAGTGAAGGAGGCAAATAAAAATACAATAACAACACAGTATAATACAGAGAGAATATATGCTACATGGGAGCCGGGGAGTGTAAATACTCAGCAGTGAGTGTGCAATTATGCAAGTGCAAAATGAGTATGTAAACAGTACAGATGGAATTACATGAGGTAGATCCTGAGTCAGCTGTTTAGGAGTCTGATGGCAGTCGGAAAGAAAACGTTTTTCAGTCTAGAGGTCCTGCATTTCACACTTCTGAGCCTCTGACCAGAGAGTAGGGAGGCAAACAGTCTGTGCTGGGGGTGGCTGGGGTCCTTGAGGATCGAGGCAGCTTTCCTATGCACCCTGTGGTGGTAAATGCTCTGCAGAAAGGGCAGTGGAGTCCTGATGATCTTCTCCGCAGTCTTTACCACTCTCTGCAGGTGCTTGCGGTCCATAGCAGTAGTGCTGCCATACCAGACAGTGATGCAGCTGTAGAAGATGCTCT